ACCCTCCTCAGCCAGCACCCCCACAACAGACCCACCTTGTGTTGTCCCCTCCAACCTGCCTCTGCTGAGGCTGTCCCCTCCTTCCAGACAGTCCCCTTCCCACCTCTTTGCTCATTTAACTCCTGCCCATCTGCTCAGGCCCATTCTCCTCCATGAAGGCTCCCCTGATCACCACTGCCCTGTGGCCTTCACCCCCTGACCACCAGAGACACACCTTTTAGCCTGTGCCATTCCACATTGGGCTTGGCCCATTCAGGCCCAGCCTCGTACTGCTGATTGGGTTTTGCATTGCACAAACCATCTCAACTAAAACAAAGAACAAAATCCACCTGTGGTCCCACCACCCAACCAGATCTAACTGGTCTCATTTTTATGGGCCCTTCTGTCCTCGGCCAGATGCAGACAGACACTGCTGTGACCCTGGACAGATCCCTTCACCTCTCTGAGCCTCCACATCTGTGTCTGTGCAATGGGAGAGCTGGCGGGCTCCCACTGCCTACCCCACAGGGCTGCTGTGAGGACCACAGGCACGAACAGACTTAATGTCCTTTGCAAACACTCATGTGTGAGACGCTGTGTGACAGAGACGGAGAGCAGCGTTTGGAGGCAGAACATCCTGCTGTGAGGACCACAGGCACGAACAGACTTAATGTCCTTTGCAAACACTCATGTGTGAGACTCTGTGTGACAGAGACGGAGAGCAGCGTTTGGAGGCAGAACATCCAGCCCTCCACCAGTCCACTCAGGAGCCTCAGTCTCCCCATCTGGCAAATGGGGGTAGACCAGCCTTCAGAAAGACTCAGGTGACCCCAATGCTCAGGGCACCAAGGAAATCATAAAGGCCTGGCAGGTTCCCTGTGGGAGCTTATCCCACAGGACAGACAGGCAGGCACAAGCCTGTGTCTGATGTATCTTCAGACTGGGCAGTCGAAATGTTCAGGAATCACAAACTCACACGTCTGCAGGGCCAGGCAGGGACAGTGTGACTGCCACACCCAGCTCATAGCTGCTTCCCGCTGCCACCTGCAGAAGCGCCCGCCCAGTGTGGCCGCAGCGCTCACTTTGCAAGAGGAACTGGGAATCCGGATTTCTGTGTACAATCTCCTGATGTTTAAGTGCTGGCAAGAAATTCTGGTTTTTTGAAAGTCCGTGTGGGTCAAGCAATGTGGATTGACCCACACGTCAACCTCCAAAAGCTGAAGAAGACAAACTCTGGCCTAGGCCTGTTTTTAGGTTTGTATTTTAAGATCATTTCAAACTTCCAGGAATGGTGCAGGAACACGTGCCTACTCTTCCCTCTGATGCAGCTGCCGTTAGCATTTGGCCCCCTCTCCCTCACTCGTCACCCTCCCCCTCATCGGGCAGGCATGGTGGCCCCTTCCCCCGTCACAGGTCAGATGTGCCTGCTGAGAACGGGATATTCCAGTGCATAACCACAGCACAGCCAGAGCATTCAGCAGACATGACAGGGATGCAACCCTGCTACCTAATGTGCCATCCACATTCACCGTCTGCCGATCGTCCCTGCAGTGCCCTCCAGGCCAGGGTCCCTCTTATAAGAAATAGGTGCCCAGATGCAAGATTCTGCAGCATTTCAGGGGCTTCAAAGATCCCTGGAGAACTCTGTCTTTGTCTCAATTTGCAGCTGGGAAAACTGAGGCACAGAGAGGAAGTTTGAGGCCCCCACA